AAGAGCTACTGGGGTCGACGCAAGGTGGCGTATCTAGGACATGAAGTACCCTCGGCTGGACTTGAAGCGAAACCGAAGGAGCTCGACGCAATCGCGAACCTTCCGTTCCCCACCAAGTAGAAGGCGATGCAGTCGTTCCTCGGAAGCTTGAACTATTACAGCCGCTTCATTGAGGACTTCGCAGTCTATGCCACGATCTTGTACGAGCTGCGGGAAGCAGACTTCCATGAGATCGCTGCGATAGACGCAGAGGAGACGTGGGTCGATGATAGTCAAATAACTGGGGGCGAGCGCGATAGGTGGACGAGGGCGAAGAACGCCTTCACCATGATGAAGGCGAAAAATTATTGCCACGCCGGTCCTGAAGCAATTCGACTACTCCTGTCATCGTGCTTTACGCGAACAAGTGGGCCATATCAGCGGCGTTGATGCAGGAGCACGAAGGTGTGTACCATCCGGTGACCTTCACTAGTCGCACGTTGAAGGCAAACGAGCTCAACAATGGAGTGGTGGACAAGGAGGTATTGGCGCTTCTGCGAATGGACGTCTGTTACTCGCAGCTGGTTACCAGATCGATCAAGGTCTTGTCACGATTCTCGACCTTGGCCTGGTTGCTCAAGTCGAACGGGTTCGACGGTCGACTGGGTAGGTGGGCAGTGCTACTATCGGGGTGGACGCTGGAAGTCACCAAATGTGTGAAGGGTGAAGGCGAAATCCTTGGGACAATCGCAGCTAGCATCACTCCCCGAGCCGAGGTCGACGAGGCCTTAGTCGCGATAGCACCCAAGACACAGGCACGGAAAATGATCACCATGCCTCCACCAACGATCGAACCAGACGAGAACTTCTTGGTAATGAGTTTCGACGGGTCAGCGCGGGTGAAGCGCAGCGGCGGTGCGTATAGTGCAGTCACTCTCGTGGGCTGTATCGCAGTGTACAACGTTACGTGGGGGAATGCACCTATTGCAAAACCGGGAAAGGAAAGCCACGGGCCAGGGTGATTCACCAGAAAATATCCAGGGTACTTATCCCTTCCAGGTGATCTCCATGGACCACATTCCATCGTTGCCAAAGTCGTCAAAGGAAACACCGAACTGCTGATTTGGGCCGACTTGTTCACCGGTTACGTAATAGCCAAGGCTGGACCATCGAGAGAGGCGCAGGCAGTGGCTGAGAATTACGAGGAATGCGTCGTCTTCCGTCGTTTCGGCGCAAGCGAAGTCATCAGACATGACCGGGACCTGGCGTTATGTCGGACTTCTTCCGTGCCTTCAACCGGATCGTGAAAATGAGACAGAGCGTGACAATGGCTTACCGCCCACAAGGGAACAGCAAGGCCGAGCGAACGGTGCAAACTCTGACACGAGCCCTGAAGATGTACGTCGCAGACGTCAACCAACAAGACTGGGACGACTATGCAGAGCGGCTGAC